GCCGTGCTGCTGAGGGTCCAACTGCTGCCTGCAGGTCCCACTCTTTCAGGCTCTTCTGGGGCAACTGCTCCCGCCCCGCTGGCCCAGGTCTTGCCAGCTCTTTGAATCTCCTTCCTTGTGGTCCCTTACGGGTCTCAGCTGCGCTGCCCCTTTTATCCCCCTCCAAGGGGGGGCCAATCAGGGGACATGGAGAGTGAGTCTCTGGGGCCTGATTGGTGAGGAAAGGGAATCCTAAGTCCTCCAATCATCTTTTACCCCTCCAAAACCCCTGGGCTAAGTCACTGCCAGCTAGCCCATCACATAGTTGAACATGCAGATCTCAGATTGGCCTCTTCAGTCATCTCCAGATTTACCAGCGACTTCCCTATCTACTGGAAGACTGTCATCCTCATATCAAGGGACTGCTGAGGACTATATCATGTGGATACGTTCTACCATTTATTTAAAAAAAAAAAAAAAAAAAAAAGCAACTGGAATTTAGGTGCTCACATAGGAATATCAGTGACTCACTATTTAAAAAGGCTGCCAACAGTGAGACAATGTAAACAGTGCTGGCTAAGATTGTGTCTGCCACTGGGGGTCACTCTGTCTATCTGAAAGATGAAGTGCTCTCTTGCTCTCCAGGTAAAATTAAATTGTTCCTTTTCAAAATAGCTGGTTGCCCCATGTGCTGTACTTGGTTTTGGTCTCTCATGCAATATTCTCTTCTTTTAAACTCATGGGACAAGATTCAGAGGCAAATCTAAATTGAAAAGTTAACTTTGAAGCTGAGCAGAATCAAACCTGAGTTTTACTTCACGTTCTAGGCTACTCATTTAGTTACATGTCAGAAGAATAACTCTGTTCTATAAACTGATTTTAGCTCAAAAATAACAGAAATGAAGAGGATCTCGTAGGGTACCTATACATGTTCAGGAACACTGCTCCAATGTGCTGTAACTGCGGTGCATCAGAGCAGAGGCAAGTCTGCTGGAGCTAATTAACTTGCTCCAGCAGCTTCCAAATCTTCTATGTTCAGCATCCCCCTGCTTCAAAATGGCGGTGGGGGCACTTTAACTCAAGCTCATTGGAGCCACTTGAATTAAAATGCCTCACTTACTACACAGTAAGTGCTGTGAGTTAGTAACCCCCCTCCCTGACCCAACAGGGGTTCACTGTTTGGAAGAAGAGAAAGGATTGAGCTCCACTTCAGAGCTGATTCAGCAGAGAGAGGTTGCCTGCCTGCCTGTCTTCCCCCTAGCCCTGCCACCCCCATCCAAGGTCCAATCCACCTACCCCCAACCTCCAGTGCAGGCTGGGCAAACTCCAGACGAAGCTTGCTCCCTTCCCTCCCCCGATTCCATCCTGGAGACAGTATGGGGGGTAGGGCTGAGCTGCATCAGCCCAGCCCTGCTCACGCACTGGAACAAACAGAAGTTAATGAAAGCACTCCACTTTAACGCACCTTCATCTGAACCCTCGTTAAATGAAGGTTAATTTGTCCCCCACTTTTAAAGCACTCTGCAGCTGTTCACTTCTGTCATGGCATGGCTGTAGAGTGCTTTCAAGAGGCCAATCATAGGACAAATATCACTTCCATCTGACCACAGTGGCACTGCAGGTGTGTTTGGCATTGCAACAAAGAACACAAAGAATTAATGGGCTGATTGATTTTTTTCTGTAATTTGTTCTTATGAAACAAGGACCAGGGAGCAAGTGAACAGGGCAGCTTGCAAGCAGTTTGCAGGTCAGTTTGCTGCCCCCCTCTTTGAAGGGGAGCCTTTAAGGTAAGCTCTTTCTTTAATTAACAATAGCTAATCTACATATATTTAGTGTCAGTCGCTAAAACTCAGGAGCTAGACAAATAACTAAGCCCCTTGCTTAACTAGAGTCCCAAGTGAGGGGCAGGCCACTAGGGAGTTTGCCTGAAAAATCTCTCACTTTTCTTCACTGTAAGCTTGATGAGAGGAAAAAGGGAAAAAAGAACCTTTCAGGACCAAAGAGCATTGAACAGGCCAGCTCACAGGAGAGTTTCCTAGGGAACGTCTGCTTGGAACAGGAGCAGGAAGAAAGAAATGGCAGATTAAGAGGCCCAGA